AGCACACTGAGACACTGGATATCTAGAGACAGGAGAGAGAGAGGTACAGCATCATGAGTAATAAATTGCTAAGGCCCAGAAAAATATAAAATGAGTCCTTTTGTTGTCTGGCCACACTATGCAAATCCCAAACCTGCAGTAGTTCAAGGTGGCAGTGGGCACAAGCGTTTCTGGGCTGGCAGTCAGAGGCAGAATGCAGGAAACAGCACAAGAGCTCCACTGCACCACATCACCGGTCTGAAGACGGCAAGCAGGAGCACAGTGCTGTGCGGGGAGGAGTACCTGACTTGGCAGTGTTGACCAGCTCGGACGCCCCCACGGCTCCGTGCACCGTCACCTCCACGTCTGGCAGGCAGAGGTCGAGCTCCTCTTGAGGCTTCGTCGAATCTGCAGGACACGGGGCGCCATTACCGCGCGCACCAGGCCGACCTCACGTCCCACGTCCCCCCCAGGTGCCGACAGCACCCCACCGCCACCCTGCCCCGTCCCAGACAGGATACACGTTACAGCGTCAAGACAGGACACCTGAATCCCAGTCCAGCTTCTTCAGGCGTCAATCTCAGCTCCTCCTCCCCCTCAGCAGTCTGGTGAAGAGGCGCTTCGCGGGAAAAGGGTTTTTAATTCTGATCCGTGTGCTACACTAGTCACATCAATCTCAGGCTCATCTCTTTCTGCAGGGGATTATCATCCTGAGATGAGCTTGGGGTTACCGCTAAGGAGGTTAATCGAACCCTAAACTGACCAGATCATTTGCTCAATTAGATCTGTGAGACTGCTGGGAGATTTCATGCTAACTACGGAGATCTATGGAGATTTCATGCTAACTGCCGGGAGATTTCAGGATAACAATGGAGATCTCATGCTCACTATGAAGATTCATGGAGATCTCATGCTAATTTAGGGGTTGGGCAGCCAGTTGACCTTGGACCTTTTCTCCTTACAGAGGGGATTTTGGTTCCTCTCCTCCGTTGTCTTCTGGCCTTTTCTCTTTCTGTATTGTAATGTCCTGTACTGTCACACAGCATTGTGAAGTGCCTTGGGGCAACCTTGTTGTGAAAGGCGCTATATAAAAATAATTTGAATTGAATAACTATGACCTGTCAGCTGCCATTAAAATGGTCTAGTTAAGCAGTGGGTTTAGTCAGGAGCAGCCTGGCGGGGGGCCTCACCTTCTCTGGGCTCCGTCTCGTAAACCATCACCTTGGTGCCGTCCAGAACCACGTACTTCCTCTCCCAGCCCTGCTGTCCCCGCTTCCCATTCCTGACAGGAAGAACGACAAGGCGTGAGCAAGGCATCGGACAGCCGGGGGGGTCTGAAAGGATTCAAGGAGCTCGGAGCCCGGGCCCCCAGCGGCTGGCGGGGAGGAGAGGGAGGCAGGGCTGACCAGAAGGCGCGCCGGAGGAGAGAGCGCTCTGGGGAAAAGAATCAGCAGACGACTGGGACCCCCCCGGCTCACCTCGGCTGCTTCATCCAGCCCTCCAGCCGGACGTGTCCGCTGGCCTCCCTGACCTGCTGCGCGGGCGAGCTGGCCTTGTCGCGGCTCAGCGCCTCGGAGAAGTGCATGGCGTACTCGGCGGGCAGGCCACACGTGGCTGGAAGGCAGGGGGAGCATTTTGGATGGCACATTGCTTGACATTCTAAAGCAGGAGAGAAAACACCGTTAAGACACACCAGAGTTTCGGGGGGGGGGGGGGGGGGGGGGTGAGGCTCCTGAGCAGCTTCACACCTGTCACCTGCTGACCACACCCCCCCAGTCGTCTCACGCACTCCAGGTTGGGGCGCCCCGGTTAACTTCAAACCCCAACAGGCACATACGCCCCTCCCCTCCCCCCACCCAGGCCCTGCAGGGCCAGCTCAGGTGTGTGTGTGTGTGTGTGTGTGTGTGTGTGTGTGTGTGTGTGTGTGTGTGTGTGTGTGTACGACTCAGCCTGGATCTCTTGCCTCCTTTATACTAACAGAGAACTGGACTGGTAAATGAAAATGAGTTTCTCTTGTCACAG